CTGTTTTCAGCCCATAGCCAATAGCAACCATTTCCTTGCCCTTCCTTTGACCGTATCTACTTGGGAGAATTTAGCAAGTATCTAATCAAACTGCAAGCAGAGGAGTTCAGCAGACCTTCATGAGGTTGATGACATTTGGGCTTTTCTGCCATAAGAGCACCTGATATGTTTTCTAAATTACTTTTAAGTTATAGCATTCATGTGTACTTAAAGAAAGTAGGAAATACCTGGAAAACTATAAAAAGAAAATAGCCAATACTTTTAATTTAATTACCCAGAACTCACCACTGTTAAGATTTTGCTGAGATCTGCCCTTTTCTCCTATGCATATCTATGCCTAGTTGAGAACACACCATATATAAGTCTGTATCTCACCTTCACACTTAATGTTGTAACTTAAATATATTCAGTGTCATTCTGTGTATTATAGCAGAAAATAACTATCATTTGTATAGCACACCAGTTATTGAACTGTTCCCATACAAGTGGAAATGGAGGACAGGGATCACTATTTTACAATTTATATGGGATGACAATTATACAGATTTCTATGAATTGAGGTTCTGTCTATTATTTCTCCAGATCAATTCCAAGAAAGGAAGTAATGGATAAACCAGTATAAGAATTTTATTTTATTTTATTTTATTTTTTGTAGTTTAGGGAAGGGTCTACCGGGTGTTCAGGGTCTCACTAATAGATCGGATTCATAGCGATCTGCCTGTTTACAGCCTCCCAAGAGCTGGGACTACAGACGCACGCCACCACGCCCAGTCTCAATTGCCATCTCAGTGTGCCCTGGAGCCAGGGCCAGCATGGCAGGCCTGGGGATCCAATCCCTGGCCCCTGTGCCTGCTTGCAAGCACTTTAATCTGCTAAGCTATTTGGCCGGCCCCCCCAAGAATTTTAGATTCATTTCAATTGGCCAGATCTCTTTTTTAAAGTCTCCTGCTTTATACCATCAGTGTGAAGGAATGAATGCTTGCTGTAGCTTCTCCTGCATAGATGTTATGCTTGGTGGCACTGAGGATTTTGGCATGAGGATAACCTATCAGATTTGCATTTATAAAATTGCATTCTAGAGGCCAAAGCAAGTGGGCCAGATCAGAACTGCTGTTGTTGTCCTTCTGTTCCTTTTGCTTCTGTATTCTCCATCTTCCATTTTCCCATACTTGATCTTCTTCCTTTCCTGGAGGGTGCATATTAAGTGTTTGCTGTCATAATACTGCACAAGGCTTTGTCACAAAGGACTGAAAGCAGTGTTGAGAGGCCCAACTTGTGGCTAACAAGCTTGAGCCTGACCCAGGGAGTCCCTTCCCCTACATCTGCTCCATAAAGTCTCTGGAAGCAATTCACCTTAGGGGAAAAAATATTTCCAATGAAATCGTGAAGTACGTTTGTTACTAAGTTAATTTTGTCTGCATCCTGTGCCTGTCCAAGCCATGCCTGACCAACCTTGTTCTGAAACATCCTCCCTCCTTCCTCTTATCAACCCAGAAAATTACTTCAGCAATAATCCTTCGGCATCTTCTTCACATATCTGTGGCCCCTGCCTTCTGTGCCTTGCCTAGTCAGAGTCAGCCACTCAGCCTTCCTTGATAACATAGTTCCACTATAACATTTTCTATGTCTAATTCTGCTTTTGTGTGTGTGTCCAAAAGGCCTTCAGGAACAGAACTTTTTTTTTTTTTTCATTTATCTATTTTGTACAGGATCTCACTAAGCAGCTCAGACCCGTAGTGATCCTCCTATCTCAGCCTCCTCAGTGCTGGGTCACAGGCGTGCACCACCACACCCAGTTTTGGTGGCCTACACAATGGGCCTGGAGTTCTGGGGCCCACATGGCTTGCAGCAGCAGCAATCAAACCTAGGTCTTTGCACTTGCCAGGCAGGCGCTTAGACTATGGAGCTATCTCCGCAGCCCAGGAATAGAATGCTTTGTGTTTCCAACTCTTAACCATGTCTGGCAATTGGTTGGGTTTTGTTTTGTTTTATTGCCAGGAATCAAACTCAGGACTTTATACTTGCCAGACAGGCACTGTGCTGCTGAGCAATAACCCTGGCCCAGCTGGTTGTTCCTCAGTGGCTGGTGAATGAATGAATGAATGAATGAATTTCTATTTTACTAAGGTGCATAGACACTCCATGGCAAATGCACTGAAGAGTGTAAAGACAATATGGAGATGACATGAATTGCCAAAATTGCACTCAAAATCTTTGGTACCAGAGGTAAAACAGACACCTGGTATACCAGATGTCCCAATCCTGTATTCTGTGTTCTCAACATTAATTGTTAGGTGTGCCTAGACATTGATTTGCATTTTGTTCTCTTTTAACTCAATACCATATTTAATGTTCTCCTAAGTATCTCTGTGATAGAGGAAGTAAAGGAGATTGAGCAAGCTAGGATTTCCAAAAGTATGTTTCAGGGCCAGTGATATAGCTCAAGGGGCTAAGCACTTGCTTAAGCAAGTACAGGACCCAGGTATAATCCCTGGCACCACATATGGCTTCAGCCCTGCCCCCAAGGCGTGCTGAGCTGGCCACCACCACCAAGTCCTGGCATGGTGGCGCAGGGCTGTAATCCCAGAAGAGGGGAGGCTGAAAACAGGAGGATCACTGCGAGTCCAAGCTGCATAGTGAGACCCTGTATCAAGTACATAAATGAAAGAAAAAAAGTGTATTTCAAAGAAAAAAAATACCATAAAGTTTTTGTTGTTTGGTAAGTTTGGAAAACAAAGCTAAATAGGTTTCTCTAAAGACTTCTCCGTAGGCCAGTCTGTAAGAAGGTGGATGGAAGACCCTGCAGGCAGTAGAGAAGGAGGAGAGCAGTTAAGTCTTGCCTTTGCAGTAGGCAGGCGTTGCAGTAGGCAGGCGTCACCATTGCCGCTCTGTGCCTAGGAGGAGCCAGAGCGAAAAAGCAAAGGCAGAAGAGACAACAGCGCCACAGGACCCTCGCCCCTTCCCCAGACCTGATCTCCCCATTTCCTCATCCCGGGGCCCCTGCCCCCTCCCACCCACTCACCTGATGAGCTCAGCCTTCATTACTTCTCTTCTAGAGCCAGGAAGCAAGGTAACGCGTGGGAAGTGATCGCTGCGAGGTAACGCGTGGGAAGTGATAACAACTTCAGAGTGAAAAGCCATTCAACGGGAAAATTGGTTAAAAAGACCAAGACGTCGTAAAGCTGAAACACTGGAGTCTATTAAGTCCCCTGCTTCTCAGAACATTCTGTTACCCGGGAGTGTTGCAAGGAGCGAAAACATTGAACCCTCGCAGCGCTGTCAGATACCAAGGGCTGGTACAAGGAGCAACATTTTATAAGACATCTGTCTCTGTCTGCCACAGGAGAAACTTTTAAAAACTTCTGCCCGTTTTCTCCTCTCTCCTGCCTAGCACAACTCCCCCACCCCCTCACCCCTAGAGGCAGTGCGTTTATTTCCCGTCCTCATCCTGTTCCTTGCCTCTTCTCCTCCTGCCCCTCCTCCTCCTCCTTCCCCGCTTCTTTCCTATCTGTAGCCCATGTTGTTTTCATAGGCACTGTTAGACTAGTGCAGAAGCCTAAGATTGTCCAGTGGTTATTCAACCCTCGGGTAAGAAGAGAACTAATTAAGTGACTAGAGGCTTAGACATTCGCTGTTTATTAGCTCCCAACTCCTTCAGAGAGCCTGGAGCATGCTCCTAAACAAATAGCATCCTTTTATGGCTTCTTGTCCCAAGTCCAGAAGAGATAGAAAGTTTAAGGAGGTGGTAGCTTTGCAGGGATGTGAAGGAGGGACTACTCAAGCAGGAAAACGGAGTGTGGAAGGATGCACAGGAGACAGCTCCGACGGCACTGCGGTGCAGGCATCGGTGGGCAGCTGTGTGCATCGGTGGTCCGCCCGAGTGCAACACTCTGATGTGGACACAATGCAGCTGAACCAGCGCTTTGCTTAACTGTCTCCATTAGAAATACATCCATCAAGAGAATGTGTTTTAAACCTCTGTTAGTCTTCCCAACAAAACAATAAAGGCAAACCCAAATATCTCCTTTCCAATCTGAACAAACACTGTTATACTATATCAGGGGACACTTGAGAGGGCAGAAGCTGTCAAAGACACAAAAGCATCCACAGAGGCACAGTTTTCTCATTTGTGGGTACCAAGAGCCCAGTGTTATGGGCCTGTGAGGAAAAGTGCTCTTGTCCCCACGAGGCCAAAGAATAAAAACTTCAAGAAATTCTACTTCTAAAATTTTGCTTCTGTTTTCAAGTCATAAGGTTGCACTGCAATCCTGCCTTTGCTTTTATAAGAGAAACAGGGAGACAAATTCCAAGCCTCAGGAATTGTTCAGAATAGGCCACTTCCAGTTCTGAATGAGAGCAGCCACCACCCCAGGAGGCCACTGGCCCTGGGTGACTGAAGCCGAGACTCATGGCTACCCCTCTTTTCCTACCATGGGCTCAGTAATCTGGTGTAAGTGAAATACTCATTTCCTTGGCTTGGATTAGGTACCTAGTGTCCTGAAGGAGGTCACTGATTTTCCCAAAGATGGCCCAGGAGTGTGGCTTGCCCGTGGCTTCCCACAGGCCAAACATGAGGCCCACTGACCACCAGTCATCATCACAAGGCCAAACGTTGCTCAGACACTAAGGGAAGGGCAGGCAGTGGCTTCCTCACCTTCCTTCCTAGCCTCATCACAAAGCCTTGTCTTTAGCAGTTGGGAGCATGGGTGGAAATCATTGCAGAACTAGCTGGCTCACTGCTCGTGCCACTCGTCCTTGGAGAAGGCTTTCTGATGGACACGCCAGCGTTCATGTTAACATTCTCTACCAAAACGTTTTCCCACTGGGTTTGTGAAAAGTACATTTATTGACCTCAGAGAAACACCCTATTTCCCTTGTCGGGAGGAATGAAGGGCTGCTGAGAGACTTGGGTTGGCCTTCTAGGGACTGCACCCCTTCTGGCCAGAACCAGTCTAAGGAACAGAGATGTACATGCGTTGCCTTTCTGTCGCACTCTGCAGACCTCAGTGACCAGCTCCTCGAAGTGGTGGGGCTAGAGGGAGCCATGGAGATGGGACAGATCTACACGGGCCTGAAGAGTGCGGGCAGGAGGCTGGCCCAGTGTTCCTGTGTCACCATCAGGTATACCTCCTCATTACCCACAGCCTCTGAGCCTTCATCCCTCCCTAAATGTTCTGCAGACAGCTGCTAGGAAGCCATCTTTGGATCATAGGATAGGGACAATAGGGGACAAAAGCTTGGTAAAGTGTACAAAGAATGTCTTTGTAGACCATGCCCTAGGGAGATAAAGCATAACCATCCCAAATATCAATTACGGGGCCCACCACAACCAATTTGCTGTTCCTTAAAATAACCTGGTAACACTCTCTAAATAGGAATATAAGCTTTTAAAGTCCAGAGAACCAAAGATAAAATTCGGTGCCTTTTTCATCTTTACAAATTAAAATGTTAGTATGCCAGGGGGCACATTCTGATAATAAAAAAAAAAAAAAAAAAAACAAAACAGGTTCCCTGCTCTCTAATGTTCTGTTGGATAATGGCCTTGGAAAAAAGGTCTATTTCCTATCAACCTTTTTATATAAAACCATTAACAGCAGAGCCAGGATCAGTGGCCCATCCCTGTAATCCCAGCGATTCTGGAAGCTGAGGCAACAGGATCACAAGTTACACCCCAGCCTGGACAATAGAGTGAGACCCTGTCTCAAAATTTAAAAAAAAAAAAAAAAAAGAGGCCAAGGTTATAGCTCAGTGACACAGCATTGGCCTAGCACGCTCGGCATCCTGGGTTCAGGCTGCGGGAGTGCCCTACCCCAAAACTCAGCAAACCTGTCACGATGACAGCAACTTTCCAATGTATGGACCGCACAGCCAGCCCTTCCAGGTCTGGAAGCTGCGGGCTCTAATGGAGAGGATCCTCTGATTTCAGTTGCCTCTAGTCAATCGATGCAGCTAATCTTTTCTCTGATTCCCCACCCCCATTATTTCGGAAGCCATTATTCCTTTCTCTTTTCCATTCACCTGTTACAAGTCAGATCTATTACTACACCTCAGGGATCTCCACAGGGGGTAGGGTTTCCCACAGGCATCTGAGCGCAGAAGCCTTTCCCTCCAGAACATCTTGAGCAGGTGGCCTCAGCACTGCTGGCGGCACTATCCCGCCCCCTCTGAAAGGTCCCCGCAGCTGCGTCCCTGATGTCTCTAAGCAGAAGGTCTATTCTACCATCCCCTTTTCTTTATTCCATGCCTTTGCCTTTCCAGTTTTTTTTCCATTTCGCGTAAACTTTACTCCCCTCTCTTTCTGGGCTGTTGTCCTAAGAGGAACTCCATTTTCTGGGTTAATCTCTCTGTCCTCATCCACTTTGCAAGTCACTAAGACTGACAGGGCCTAGTCAGTCAGCACTTTGAGGCCATAACTTATGTAGACAACAGAGAACACAACATCCTCATTCCCCCAAAAATCTAAAACCTTGTGTACACGGGGCAGCCTGTTTCTTTGTATTCAGTGACTGTTTCCAGGTAGAAAAAGAGGTGTGAGCTAAGACACCCCCCATCCTCTCAGGCATTTCCCAGATCTTTTTCAGCCTTAAGTACCAAAACATGCTTCTTACCTCTGATTATTTGTTTATGATTATATTTATTGTTGTCACCATTAACTATCTGTCTGGTCGGAGAATCATCACACAAAAACCTAACTCGCCCTTCTCATTTTGCAATGTTAGAAACAAGGTGAGGACTTCCTGGGCACCAGGGCAGTCACTGTCCCCCACCCCACTGACCAAAGGCCTTCAGTGGGCCGCCTTTCCTCCCAGAGGCAATGTAGTAGGAGTTCAGAGCTCTGTAGCAGGAAGTGAGAAGGATCCATAGGCCGGAGAAGCCGTGGCTCACACAAGAAACAGCGCTCTCTCCTCGGCACCTTTCCTGTCCTTGGGAGTAGTCTTCCTAGCTGCCCATCTCCCAATGAAGCCGGCCCCACGGTCCACACAACCCCAGAGCACACTGTTGTTCAGGACCGAGCGCAAGACAAAGCGAGACACACTCAGACCCGCGCTGTACCTGTTCAGCTCGGAGACGTTACCTCATGACCGTGATGCAACCGTTCACTCAGCATCCGGGTGGAGCCCTGGCCCGAGCACGGCAGAGATCCTGGCACAGGCCGCTGGCCCTCTGGCCCTCTGGCTGACTGCTGGACCAAACGGGGCCTGCCCAGTGGTAGCGCTGCCTTGTTCGCTGGCCTCTTCTTTCCCAGACTTCTGCAGCTCTCACTGCTCCCCCACAATAAGGATTTGTAAAATGGGGTCTAAGGACTAAGAATCACGTCCACAGTGCTTGGGAGAACGCAGATCCCAGAGCTTGGCCCTGACTGAACCCGGAGCCTCACACCAAGCTACATTCCCAGCCCCTTATACGTTTCTCGCTAAGTCTCTAAATTGCCCAGGATGAGCTCAAACTTGCAATCCCTCTGCCTCCGCGTCCCAGAGTGTGGGGGTTGCAGCCACCATGCCTGGCAGGATTCCGCTTTCAGCAAGTCCTCCCAGAGAGCCATTCCTAGGCAGACGCATGAAACTTTCCCGCTTCTTCTTTCCTAGCAGGCATGACACTGATGCTGCTACTCTGAGAAGCTCACTGTGTCCCTTGGTTTTTGGGCTTTCAGGACTAACAAGCTCCTGCCGATGCAAGTGGACGGAGAGCCCTGGATGCAGCCGCCCTGTGCGGTGAGTTTTCCCATCTTGAGGTGGTGCTGAGAACCTTACTGTTGACCCCTTTGGGACACTGACTCGCTATGAGATCGCAGAGTCGCAGAGTCAAGGCCCTCTGAAGCTCTTGTGCATCCTCTGTCCACGCTATCCACCCGTGCGTCTGTCCTGCTGAGCTCTCCTTGAGTGCCTGCTCTGGGCCAGGCACTGTGAGGCAGCAGATACAAAAAAGGATGCAGTGTAGACCCCGTCTTCAGGGTGCTCATGATCCCAGTCAGTGAAGTCCAGAACTTTGTGGTGGTACCCAGGCAGTCTCGGTTAGAGACATTCTGGGGTCAGGGAGCTCACGCATCAAAAACCAGAGTGTGTGGCTGGGACCAAGTCCAGCTTTAGGAAACGCTGCCTGGTATGGAAGCCAAATCGGCATGCTTCCCTGGAGCTCCCACTGAGTTGGTCTGACCACTGAGGAGAGAGAATTCCTCCCTGCACAAGACCACATCGCCCACAGGGCCATGCACCGTGGCCTTGAGGCCGGCCTCAGGGCCACGCACCATGGCCTTGAGGCTGGCCTGAATACTCTACTGAAAGGATCGAGTTTATGGCACAGTCAGCCAGCCCCTAGCGCAGTGCTGGCTTGGAATAGCTGCACAACAATGCAATGCCTGATGGACAAAAGGAAGAGCCTAACCCGTCGCCTACCCGCCGCCATATTCGCGCAGGCTCTGCGCTCTGCACCACCGCATGAGCCTTTTCCTCCCTTCCTAGTTCTCTCTTTGCTGAAACCCCAGCTAGAAAATCTTTGGTAAAGAGAAGCCATTGTCTTGACTTCCAGGGTTTATGTTGCTATATTTATATATTTGTTATAATCTTACATATTATGGCCCATGTAGTTACAAATATGCACATCTCAAAAGAGACCAAAGTTGTGTCTCTAAGTTTCCTTCCCCTAGGGAAGTATTCATTTGCTCATCAAATTTAGGGTTGTTTGTTTGTTTGTTTGTTGGTACCAGGGATCAAACTCAGGACCCTGTACTTGCCAGGCAGCTGCTTATGCTGCTGAGCTATATCCCCAGCTCAACAAATATATCCCTTATTGAAACATTTTCTAGAAGGTACACACCAACTATGAAGTGATTCAGAATTAAAAGCATTGACTGGAGGGCCAGCGGGATAGCTCGGAGGACTAAGTGCTTGCTTAGGCAAGCACAGGGGTCTGGATTCGATCCCTGACACACATGCCATGCCAGCCCCACCCCCAGGCTCACTGAGCCAGTGATGGAGTACAGACGTGGTGGCACACGCCTGTAATCCCAGCACTAGGGAGGTTGAAAACAGGAGGATTACTATGAGTCTGATCTACATAGTGAGACCCTACACACACACACACACACACACACACACACACACACAACTAAAAGCATTGACTGGGATGTCATAGTACAAAAGCCCTTTGGTAGAAAGTGAACCCACTCTAAATTAGAATTCAGAAATCTGTTAAATATGGTCATACAACTGAATGCAAATAGCAATATTCGCTCTTTGAAAGAAAAATATATAATGTAAACATTAATAATACGAATCCTAGACCTAAGATTATGTTAACAAAGGCTGAAAGCCTATGGGAAGCATTGCTGAAAGAATATTAAAAATATGCTCAATTTGTGTTGTCTCTTATCACTTTGGTAATTAAAAATATAACTCAGCAGGCAATCTTAGTAGCTAGATGCTCACTTGTGAAACTAGTAACAGCATATGCCTTTTAAGTCTGGGAGAACTTGGGATATAGAAACCCTATCGATATAGCAAAAGACAGAAAGCAAATAACAAGCCAGAAGTGAAAATTTTTTGAAAATGAAAGAGGTTAAAACTAAATATATCAATACTGACAAGAAAAAAATAGGTTATTAAAGTCCTCTATTAAAAGATCAATATTATGGCTGGGGATATAGCTCAGCTGCACAGTACCTGCCTGGCAAGTACAAGGTCTAATTTTGATCCTTGGTGCCCACAAAATAAAACAACAACAACAAAAATAAAATAAAATAAAAAATCAATATTAGATTAAAAACTAATATCCAAAATATTTATTCCTTACAAAAAGATACACCAAAACTTAGATGAAGTAAGTATATAACCTATAAACAATTGAAATAGCCTATTTTCCAAGGGTTTATAGAGTATTTTCTAAAGTGGACCAATATAGCAGGGGACAGAAAGGTTGTTTTTTTTTTTTTTTTCTTTCTTTCTAATTTACCAACGAAACAAAATCTCTGTATAATCCAGAAACAGAAATTGTAAAGGTCATTTTCTTTGACCAAAAAGAAATTACTAATAGAAGATTAGATGAATAAGCATACAAAATCTAGACAGTTGGAGACTAGAATTCTCCTAAAGAATGATAGATTCAAAAGGATTTTCTTGGGCTTGGGAAATAGCTCAGTGGTCTAAGCGCCTGCCTGCCAAGTGCAAGGACCCAGGTTCGATCCCCGGTTCCATGTGCCATGCTGGCCCCAGAACCCAGGGTGCGCCATGCCAGCCACGGAAGCCAGGCGTGGTGGTGGTGCATGCCTGTAATCCCAGCGCTGAGGAAGAGGATCAGTATCAGTCCGCACAGAGAAACCCTGTACCAAAGAAAGAAAAGATGAAAAAGAAATTTTAAAAAGAATTTTCTTAGTGACAACTAAAACATTATAAAAATAAAAAGAATCCAAGTTCAAACTTAATAAAATAAAACTTCAACTGTATTTGGACATAAATTTAATGTCTCATATAAAAAGAAAAATACCATGAATAATCTCAAAATAAGAATAATACATATAGGAGAAGCAGAAGGAAAAAATAATGATGAAAATAATAATTACATCAATTTTAAAACAGGAAAACAATTCTTTAAACATGTTAAATTTTTAAAAAATCTAATCTTAAAAGAGAAAAGGTGGGGCCAGGGCAATAGCTCAGTGGAATAAGCCCTTCCCTGGCAAGCACAAGGGGCTGAGTTCAATCCCTGGTTCCACTAAAAAGAGAGAGAGAGAGAGAGAGAGAGAGAGAGAGAGAGAGAGAGAGAGAGAGAGATTTGAGATATTAAAATGCAAAAGGAACATACAAAAATGTAATATAAAATCTAAATTTAACATCTTCAATAAAGGAAGAAAAACCTTGATAACCAGTGGTTTCAAAAATGCGTGCTAGGACTGGAGAGATAGCTCAGTAGAATAAGCACAAGGTCCTGAGTTCAATTCCCAGTACCACAAAAAGAAGAAAAAGAAAAAGAAAAAAAAAAGAAAGATGCGTGCTAGGGCCTGGGGAGGTAGGCACAAGATCCTGAATTCAATCCCCAGTACCAAACAAACAAACAAATACAAATGCATGCAAGATGACCTCAAAACAAATTATCTTAGTGTGGAAGCCTTTCTTACTTATAGGAAATAAAATATTTAGGTAAACTATCCCTAGTATAGACAAACAGAGAAAGATATCCAGTCAGTTTGTTAAGTTAAAACAGATATAATACCTAACAAAAATTACTCTTCAAAATAGAAAACTCAGGGGCTGGGGAGATGGCTCAGTAGGATAAGCGCTTGATTGGCAAACGCAAGTATCTGAGTACAATCCCCGGTTCCGCCAAAAAAAGAAAAAGAAAGAAAGAAAACTCCACACCAATCTCAAATATAAATATGATGCCAAATTTTAGTGAACATGGAGGTAGATAGAATTTAAAAATATGTTACAATAAAATTATGGGAAAAAATCATAGTTCCTAAGATTTACAATAATGGGGATATTTTAAAAGATTACTTAAAATTCCTTTAATTCCTAATAAGTTTGACTACTTGTTTTATAGTACTAAATTAGAATTGGTATAAAAAGCTTTGATATTTAAAAAAATATATGTTATAAGCATCATTCACCCCTTAGAGTATATCAAAGGAATTAAAATAAATCTTCTAATATTAGTTAGTTGAAGAAAACAACATGATAATATACGTAGATGACTCAAAATGTTCAGTAACCTTAACATTTCTGATCTTTAACAATTAAAAGCTCTTGGCTGGAGAGATAGCTCAGTTGCATAAGCACCTGCCTGGCAAGCACAAGGTCCTTAGTTCAATCCCAGGTACCAAAAAAATTTTTTTTAAAGATTAAAAGCAGGCCAGGGAGATGACTCAGTTGAATAAATGCTTGCCTGGCAAGTGCAAGTTCCTGAGTTCAAAGTCCAGTACCACAGTAAATAAATAAATAAATAAATAAATAAATAAATGCCTTATATCAATCAAAAATATAAAAGATTTTCACAAAAAAGTAAAATAAAATATTTAAGGGCCGGGGAGATGGCTCAATAGAATAAGCGCTTGCCTGGCAAGCTCAAGGGTCTGAGTTCAATCCCTGGTTCTACATAAATAAATAATGAGATAAATAAAATGAAATAAAATAAAAGATTAAAAGCTCCTATAAAACTAACAGTAGAGACACCCCCTCAGGGCTGAGCTGGAGCTCCGTGCAGGAGCACTTGCCCACCTTGTGCCAAGGCCTGGGTTCAGTCCCCAACACAGGAAACAAGAATAACAAACAAAAAGCTCACAAAACTCCTTGAAAATTAAGAAAAGACAAAACAGGTACATTAATATGGTTTGGAAGTGCTAGCCAAAACAGTACATGTGAATGAAAAATAGAACTCTTTTCAGGAGTCAGAACTGTCACTATTTGTATGTGGTATGATTACATATGTGAAAAACTAATTGAACCAACTGATAAATTATTTCGTTGAAACCCTATAGAAAAGCACATAAAAATTAACAGCTTTCCTGTGTACCAGCAGCAACTAATCTAAAGAATGGAAAAATCCTAAATGTTGTAATAGTAGCAAAAAAACACATAAAGTGTTAAGCTGAATTGTGGAAAATGGATGAAAATACCCAGAAGACTTAGAAGACTTAATCGTAGAATGCCCCATGTTCTGTTTTTTACTCCAATGTTTTTACTTGGCAAAGTGCTGCAACTCCTATAGAATTTTGTAAAAG